TGCGGTGGTAACCCCTGTGATAGATACCGTGGTGGTCAGCCATTGCGTGCTCGACTGTATCCCATGTCCACTCACCTGATCCCAGTCCTTGACAGCAGCATCGATCCATCCTCCGATGTCCAACAGCGCCTTGTCTTCGTGCCCGCCTCTACCTCCAGTACTGTCATGTTCAATGCCCATGGCCTCATCCTCCTGACCTTCGGGCTGGTCCGGTATGGACGGTCGAGAGTGCTCCTCTTCGATGGCACCAATCTCCGAATCATGCCTGCTTTCGGTGGCATACCCATGAGACTGATCTTCGACCGCAACCGTGCCTTGCTCTTGCTGCTCTGCCGCGACTGCCGGGGAAGCCGATTGTCCCGAGCGCTGTCGCCGCAGTTCTTGCGCGACTCGCTCCCTCTGCTGGATTAGGCTCTGCGTCTCCGCCCGTAGATGCTGCAACAGCGTTCGGAGACTGCTTTCCTCTGCTTGGACACCGACCAACTTCCCCGTCGAACCGAGGATCTCTCGTCGCAGATGGTCAACCTCCTCGCTAACAGCCACGGGTTGACCCTTGACCCGAGCGAGCTCGAGGGTTCTGTCAAGCAACGTGCTCTTGACATTGGTCAGCTCAGTCTGGAGTTTTGAGATGTAGGCATAGTCGATGCCACTGCCCGAGACGGTCTGGTTCGTTGCCGAGGGCACCATTGCGTGCGATATGAACGGGTCGATGATGGGTTCGGCGAGCGCGACAGGCGACGTCGCTCTAGGCGACCGCGCAGCCAAGAGCGTGGACAAACGAGCCCTCAGCCGAGCGTTCTCTTCTTGCATCTCTGCGACCCGAACTTCCATGGCCATTCTAGGAGGATGTCAGCGAAGTGTCGGGCTCGGCAGCTCAGATCCGTCGGGCTCAAGCGCAACTCACTGCTCCCCCCGCTTCTTCTGCCTGCTCTTCTCGGCTGCCTTACGGTTCTGAGCTTTCTGCCTGTCCTTCTTGTCTGTCCAGGTGTCCTTGCTTGTGCCTGCCATGGCTACCGGGCTGGGTGCGCCCGGAGATAGCATACCTCCGGCAAAAGTAGCGCCGGGATGGTCCGCAGAAGTGCCGATCTGATTGACCAGAAGCGTGGCGGGGTCATCGGGCTGGGAGGACACGCCGTGCTCGGCCATGATCACAAAGGGTGTATCATCCTGTTCATCCTGCAGCATCTCATCTGGGTGTTGATGCTGACCCTGTCCGCTCAGCTTGTCATGCGCACCGTCATGATGCGGGATCCGGTGCGGGTCATGAGCAACGTCATGGATAATGGGCGAGTCGCCAAACTGCACATCGGCCTCGGCCAGGATGGACTCGTAGTCGTCAATGGTCGACATGACTGACGTGCGGCTCCGCTACGATCCCTTGGCTAATGTTGAAAGCCGGTCCGAGGAAAGCAAGTCGCGTCGAGTATCGACTGTCCGTGACGTGGTGAAAGTACAACGAGGGTGATAACAAACGATGATAACGACGGAAATCCAGACTGGAATTCTGATGTGGGTCCGTGCTGTGTACGTAATCGGTAGAGTACACGTGCTGGTTCCGGCCCGTAGCGAGATCGTGTCATGACGACATGGTGGTACAGCATCGGGGCTGATGCAGACTTCTTGAATGGTTCACTTGCATCCCATCCTGTCCAACACCTTTGCATCAAGCAGAACATCGGTGAGCTATTGACGTGTTCGGAAACACCGTGGCTCAACCTCCGACCTGTGACTGACCGCCAACAGTAGCACAACATGGGAGTCACTCAAAACGACAAGACCGTTACCCTCAACCATGACTCGGTGAGCAACCTGTCATGCTGAATACTCGCTGTCTGTCAGCTCACACAGCTTGACCTCTAGGGAGCGAGCGTCGAGATCCAGTCAGTCGTCTATTGGCCTACCAAACAGGCGTGTAGGAGTACTGATTGAAATGCCCCATCACAGGCTCTTCGGTGCTCATATCACCTCGTGGAAGCAGGGAGGCAAGGAGAGGATGTTTGTCAGCAGCAAGACCTCTTTCGACAGCGGCAAGCCTGTGAGTGCCTCGACTCGTGGCTCTCAGACAATTGTGTGGTATCATGTCGCCTCGGGGACGATGAGACCGACTGGATCGCTCCTTCTGCATAATGATCGATCGCTCGTACTGATTGCCTGATGTCCGTAGATCCGAGGTGGTATCCCCATTGTCTTCGTGAGTCTGCTGAGTCTGGCAAGATGACCTGTTGTCATACCGATAAGCAAGCTGACCCTAGATTCCATAGCCTATCTTTGGCCCCCCTCCCACTTCACCACCCGAGTATGCCGCTCTCTCCCAGCACGGATTCGCGCGAACCCAGAACTGGACGCTCGAGTCCACCGTGATGGACCGACCGGAAGGTGTATCTGTCCGACTACGAGCCCCCGGACCTCCTTCAGACTTTGAACACAAGTACAAGCTCTCCTACGTCGTCACGCTCACCGAGAACCAGCTGTCGACTGATGTCCACATCGTGAACGAGGACGACAAAGACTTCATCTTCCAGACTCTACTTCATACCTATCTCGCCGTACCGGACTCTAGCAAGATCAAGATTAGTGGTATCGACAAGGGTACCACCTACAAGGACAAGGTTCTCGGCAAGGTCGAGCAGTGGGACGGCAGTGACCTGTCTATTGACCGGGAGATTGACCGGTGAGCTTCGCTTGAGGAGGGGCCTGTACTCTCCCAGAGTCCATCAGCTGAAGCATTACCCTCGGAACAGTGTCTACCAGAAGATCCCCTCGCAAGAGCTCAAGCTGGACGATGGCGCAGGCTCCGGCTTTGTTGTGCGATTCCGAGGGTTCGAAGAGTGGGTATCCAAGCCGAGGATGATAAGACAACTGCTGATGCACGCGTCCACAGCGCGACCATCTGGAACCCTCAGGAGGCCACGGGTAGCAAGATCGCTGACATGGAGGACAAGGGATGGGTGAGGGCATGATTCTCCAGCATCGCGACGAGGCCTGTCAGCTGACCATCTTTGCTCCGTCGCGTCCACAGGAGAAGTACGTCTGCATTGAGCCTGGATACGTGCGAGAATTCAAGTCTCTCGCCCCTGGAGAAGAGTTCCTTGCTCAGCAGGTCCTCCGAGTTATCTGAACCGGGCAGCTGGGTGAAGGCGTGAAAGCAAGGGCAGTATTGTAGTCAGAAGGAAGACCATGCATGAGATATGAAGTCTAGGGGTTGCTCTGGTTGATTCGCATACCCCTGCATAGGTCGTGGGTTCTTGTCTGGCGATGAGCAAAAGGCGAACGCTGGCTGGCGGAAGAAGGTTCGAGAGGTTCGACGTCAGGCCACGTGGGCGGTACATCACGGTTGCTGCCAGAATTCCGGTTCAACCACATAAGTCGGTTCATCCGTCGATGTCTTATACTCATCTTGCACCAAAAGACATTTAACAGGACATATACAATGGCACCTATCCACCCCGAGATCACCTACGCTGAGCGATGCTCTGTCTCTGAGCCGGAGAAGGTGAGCTTGAGTCACTGTGCACACCAGTGCTAGTGTGATCCAGCCGATCTGTGCTGTCCGGCAGGCCATTGGACACCTTAGTATTATGCGGACTCATGTTAATACCTGCTTCCTTCCCAGAACATCATCTACTTCACTATCAACGTCCCCAACGTCCAGGGGGAGCCCAAGCTCGACATCAAGCCCACTGAGATCTCCTTTGCTGCCAAGGCCGGAGAGTGAGTGGTTTGATCGGTGTCCTAAGGCTCATTGGCTGATCTGTCTGTAGCGCTTCCAAGGGCATCCCCGAGAAGGACTATGCTTTTGACCTCCAGCTCTTCGACGAGATCATCCCCGAGGTGAGCGCAGCGTTGATACAAGGTGGACTGTTTGATATCAGTGACTGACCCACTTGACTTACGCAGGAAACCAGGAAGGTCGTCACCTCCCGAGCTATCGTCCTCGTGCTTCGAAAGAAGGAGGCCCGAGCCGAGTACTGGACCCGATTGACCAAGGAGAAGCCCAACAGGAACTGGATCAAGACTGACTTCTCCAAGGTGCGTTGGTTCTCCGTAGGAGACGAGCTCTGGGGTGTTTTGCTGATGCGTACTTGCATATCAGTGGGTCGATGAGGATGAGCAGGAGGGTGCCGAGGAGTGAGTAGACGTGATATTGGTAGTCGATACAAGCAGACTACTGACAACCGTGTCTAGCCTTAGCGGCGGCATGGGCGGCATGGGCGGTATGGACGAGATGATGGGTGGTATGGGTGGTGCCGGCGGCATGCCCGGTATGGGCGGAATGGGCGGTATGCCCGGCATGGGTGGAGCCGGCGGCATGGACTTTGTGAGTGTCCGTGGCCGGCACGCAGAGTCGAGATGCTGATAGATACTCCGCTAGGCCAAGATGATGGAGCAGATGGGTGGTATGGGTGGTATGGGTGGTATGGGAGGCATGCCCGACTTTGGCGCTGGCGACGATGACGATGACGAGGATGAGGTACCCGAGGAGGGTGAAGAGGCCGTCGAGGACAAGGGCAAGGGCAAGGAGGCTAGCGTGAGTGCAGTCCGCCGAGATCTCTACCTTGGATTTGAGCTTACAATCCGTGGACAGCTTGACGATGTCGAGTAGATTGTCATCCACAAACGCAGATAGGGGAAAGCAAAAGACAGCATGTCACAGGATTAGGTAGTCAGTAGCTCATGCATATACATCCAGCGAAGGTGACGGGTCGCGGTGACCAGGGTTGATAGTGCATCGAGTGAGACGGGCGTGTAGCCGGAGAACAGTCATGATAGCGAGTCGAATACGACCTGCAAGGCTCACACCAGTTCAATTACATATTTTATAGCTCCGACCTCGGGCTCAGCCGCTGGATCTATACAGTGGAGCTCTGCCTGGGACTTGCGGACGTGCGGGCAGCCAGACATAGGCGAAATGTAAAGCAGGAGGGGGGAAGCACCGGTTGGCTTGTAGCTTGTACCATATATACGAATATATATAAGCAAAAATCACCAAAACATCGCTTGGGGTTGTAGCTCAAATGGCAGAGCGCGTCATTAGCATCTTCGCTCGGTTGATCCGGCGAGCGTTCTTGACGAGGTAGTGAGTTCGATCCTTACCAACTCCAATCTTTTTAGGCTCGTATTCGCCTTATTGGGTATCTTTTTGCCTCGGCGACGACACTGGGACCTCCACACGCTTTGGCCACCCAAAGATTGTGACTTCTTAGTCTCACGTTTAGGTTGCTTCTCGACTTCTGTGGTGCGCACGCTGCTCCAGCCTCATGGCAGGCATATATAGTGAGTTGCAGCAGGTATCCAGCGGGCTGACCCTCGCCAGACGGCCACCTGCTCGAGTTCCCAACTATCCGCGTGGACTGCTTCTTACCGACCTCCCCTTCGCTCTTGCTCCCATCGGACAGACCATCCTCTTCCAAGCTACCTTCGCCATGTGTGCCCGCTCCGAATGCCCAGCTCTTCCTCCTGACGCATGTCCACTCGGACCATCTGCTGGGCCTGAGCGACAGCTTCACCGGCAAGATCGTCTGCTCTCCTGATACCAAGCGGATGCTGCTGAATCTCGAACCGGAGGTGGAACGAGGGCGTATGGAAACGGGTGTGAGGGAGAGCAAGCGGTTAAAGTACGCTGGTCTGAGGGGTAGGGTCGAGGGCAAAGGGAAGGAGGAGAGGCTCGTTGACAGGATTGTGGGTGTTTCTGCGGGGTGCGCACTCATGCCGCCTGGCTGACAGGAGTCGGGTAGGAAGCGGTGCCGTACGGGCAGTCCAGAGATTACGAGATAGGTTACGACGAAGGTATCCCCCAGACTGTGACGATAACCTTGCTGGATGCGAATCACTGTCCCGGTTCGACCATGTATGTGTCCCTCGTTGTCAAGGGAGCGTTGACTGGGTCACAGCTGAACACCTTGACAGGTTCCTTATCACCTCGGCGGACAAGGCGGTCCTGCATACCGGGGATATCAGAGCGGACCAGCTGTTCATCCAGAACCTCAAGCGACAGCCTGCACTGCAGCAGTACTTTGCTCCCACGTCTACGTACGATGGTCGCGTGATGGATGGACCGAGGGCAGGGCGACGGACGTTGGACCGTATATACCTGGACACTGGAGCTGTGTGAGTGAAGTGTTGCTATGCCGGGTAATAGCTGATCCGTGTCTAGGCTGGGTACCGGCGATATGCCTGATCGTGTATGTGCAGTGAGCTCAGCCGCGACGGCGCGCTGATTGCGTTTCAGGAACCGGTGGTCAAGGACCTTCTGGATCAGATGGCGTTGTATCCTTCAGATACCATCTTCTTCCTTGACACATGGTGTTTCGGGTGCGTACTATCGTGCTGGTGGGATTTCCGTGACTGACTGAAACCTTGTGCAGCTGGGAATATGTGGTACAGGAGGTGTCGCGGTTTTTCGGCGAGCGGGTGGGTCAATCGCGACCAAGACGGTTACTCCAGTCTAACTGTCCTACAGGTGCACGTCGACCGTTACAAGCGGTCAATCTACTCGGTCATCAAGAGCGATCCCTACCTGCTCGCCTGTACCACCGAGGACCCATATTCCACTCGCTTTCACGCCTGTGAGCGTATTGCTAAGTGTGTCGCCTGTCGACGGTTCCAAAAAGGCAACAGCAAACCAGTATATAACCTTGATAAACGCATAGTCGGCGTCAACATGGTCGAAATCAAGGATGCGTCCTGGAGCCTGCAGCATCAAGCGTTCCTTGAGGCTTTATCAGCTGCGGCCGTTGGTGAAGGCCCTTGGCCGTATAGCATCGTGCGTTGGTCGGTGCTAGTTGGCGGCGTCCCAGAATCTCCCATTGCTGACAGCTCCTGCTATAGAATGTCCCACTCGCCCGTCACAGCCCGCTGCCCGAGCTACAGAACCTGGTCAGGCTATTTCGTCCGCGTGCCATCTCGCCGAACACCGTTGTATCCGCACTCAAGGGCTTGGACTACTTCCTCCTGCCCGATTTCATGAGGGACAGCGTAGCAGATGGGGCTTACGAGGGGATGATCTGCGAACGGGATGCTTACTTTGATAGCAAGTATGGCAAGGGGTTTCTCCAGAGGTTGAACCACCTCAAAGGGCTGAGCATGGACGTCGTCGGAGGGGCGCACACGTTGGCGAATCAGACGTCGACCCTTTCACCTCAGGCGAGGTCGACGCAAGGTAGGAGAGCAAACGCGACGGAGCAGCTTGTCAGAGCCGGGGGTCTGCCAGACCTGACCCCGAACGAGGTCATACAGCTGGTTTTTGGCGATATTCTCGAGCCTGCGCCTGGACAAGCATCAAATGGCCGTCAGAAGCCGGCGGAGTACGATACAGACGAAGAGTCACCACGGAAGCGTAGAAGGGGCTTTGTCCACGATGAATCTCAGAGCTCGGCGCCCGAGGCGTCACCGATACTACACCTTGAGCGCACGACCCGTGAGGGAAAGCAGGGCATTGTAGGCAAGACCCATACGGTTCCAACGATCACACCCAGTATCAAGCTGGAGGACATCTCAAGCCGGCTACCTTCGCCCAGGCCTGCGCAGCAGCGTAAGCGGGCACAGGGCCGCAAGGTATCCAGATTCTCCCTCGGACTCGATGCGCAAGATAGGATAAAGAGGTTGATGGAGCGGGACCAGGCCATGCTGGCGGAGGTGGCTGGGGATGTGGAAGACGAGGGGTGAGCTCTCGAAAGCGTGGCTTACCTTGTAGCCATACCATGCTCTGATCGGGTGTATGACCAGGACGATGCATGTTAGTAACCTGCATCTCACCATGGGCGGAACGGGTGCCACTGCCACACCTGATTTTATTTCCGCATCTGGATTAAGCTTAGCTCGCCCTCTCACGCGTTGTCTCTGATGCCGCAAACGCGACCGGTGGAATCTCTTATTTCACGTCTCATGTCCGACCTCGACCTCGGGATCATCCTTGCTCAGCTCGACGTCGCCGCCGCCGCCCAGCTCTCGTCAAGATGGCCCCTCAGAAGGGCATCGCGTCTCGCAACAGGGTACTGGCCCTGGCAGGAGTCCTCTTCTCCGTCCTGTTCTTGCTTCACTTTGCGTTCCCGGGATCCAACAAGCTGCTCGCTCACACGCACCGATGGACGACGGCCTCGTCTTCGGTGCTCCGGTCCAAGTTCCTGCGGGAGAAGGCTCAGGCGCCTCGGGGACCCATCCACCATCCCATCCCGAAGCTGATGGCGGATGCGAGGGACTCGTTCGATGCCAAGATCAAGCGACAGTCCAAGTCGTTACCCGAAGCGGTCGCAGAGTACAGGAAGAGGTACGCCATGGATCCGCCAAAGGGGTTTGACGAGTGGTACGCCTTTGCCAAGTCTCACGACGCCATCATCATCGACGAGTATGATCAGCTCATCAAGGACCTCAAGCCGTTCTGGCTGTTCTCGGGAGAGGAGCTCAGGCGGAGGTGCATCCAGGTCGGGTTCCTTCCCTCGGTCGATCTGGTCAGGATCGAAAAGGGAAAGACGAGGACCATCGACGTGTCGAAAGGGTTTGACGACTCGGAGGTCGGGGCGAGAGCAAAAGGTTTCAGAGTCATGTTGGAAAAGTTCCAGGACAAGCTGCCAGACATGGACTTCCCCATCAACGAAAAGGCCGAAGGACGTATCCTCGTGCCGTGGGAGGAGAACCTGTTCTCAAACCTGACCGCGGACTCGTCCAGTGAGTGTTAGGTTCGCGTGTGCATCATCATGGCTCGCTTGCTCTGTCCTGGTCACTACGCGCCAGGGGCCGTCACCCGATCTTTGGACTAGTCCCGGCCAGATGCCTGTTAGAATAGCCAGCTGACACCTCCCGTCACCCAGAGGGCATCAAGCACGTACTCGGCGGCGAGTTCGTCCCCGACTGGAAGGGCGACGGTAACGTCTGGGAAGCCTATCGACGGACCTGCGAGCCGTCATCGCAGGCCCGGCGTCTGTTCGGCTCGCTCCGACCACACCTGAAGGAAGGCCAAGTGCCCATCTCTCGACTGGCCGATGCCGGTATCACCACCGAGACTGCCTCGGAGGACTTTTACTTCCCTCCAGGCGTCGACGACACCTTTGACTTTTGCGATCACCCTTGGGCTCACTACCACCAGGGACACTTCTTCTCCGATTGGAGGACCATCCACGCGCTTTACCCCATGTTCTCCCCGGCCAAGGGAGTGGGATACTCTGACATCTTGATTCCTTCGCACTACTACTTCTCCTCGACCAAGCGATACACCTACGGCTGGGACCCCGTCAACATGGTCATCAAGGACGTCGACGACATGGAGACCGCCTGGGAGGACAAGTCGGACGATATCTTCTGGCGAGGAGCCACCACCGGAGGTGGGTCCAGCCCGCCCGGATTTCTCGCCCAGTACCAGAGACACCGATTCATCAAGATGACTTCGGACACTTCCGACGTCAACAAGACTGTGGTCTTTGCCGACCCGCCAGGGACCAACAACTTTGTCTCGGCGCAGGTACCCATCAGGCAGCTGAACGAGGACATGATGGACGTCGCGTTCACCAAGGCCGTGGGATGCACCCAGTACCCTGGCGGATGTGACGGTATGAGAAAGGATCACCGATTCGCCGACGCCGTGCCGCTGGGAGAGAACTGGAGGCACAAGTACCTGATTGATATCGATGGTATGGGCTACTCGGCCCGTCTCTTCGCCCTGGTGAGTACGCGCAGGGTGGATACTACGTGACCGACTGACTTTTTGTCTAGCTCAAGTGCGAAAGTGCCGTGCTGAAGTCAACCGTGTACACCGAGTTCATGTCCGAGTGGTTGCAGCCATGGTGCGTGCAGCATGCGTGGCAAGTGAACCGCCGGATGGCTGACCCCAAACCAGGCTACACTACATCCCCATCTCTCAGATGTATCAGGAGGTGTACAATGTCCATGCCTACTTCTCCGGACCGTCCAAGGCCATGCTCGCTGCGTCCAACTCGACCCAGTTCCAGTCGGCCGGTCTCACCACCAAGAAGCTGGACGGTGACGCGGAGCTGAGAAAGATCGCCAAGGCGGGTCGAGATTGGATGTTTACCATCGGTCGAAAGATCGACATGGAGAGTGAGTGTGGTTCTGGGCGGTCGAAGGGGTTACTTTCTGACGCTTGACACCT